ATAAGTATGGCTACTCTGGCTCTTTTTTGACATCTGTTTGCATGGTAAATTGTTCTCCATCCCTTCACTTTGAATTTGCAGGGGTCTTTAGGTCTAAAATGAATCTCTTATAGGCAGCATATAGATGGGTCTTGTTTTTTTCCATTCTGATGCCCTGTGTCTTGATTGGAGCATTTACTCCATTTACATTCAGAGTGGTTATTGATAGATACGAATTTGGTGCCATTTTATTACCTGTTAAATTGTTGTTTCTGAAGATTTTCTCTCTTCCTTTCTAGTCTTTGTTGCTTTTGGTCTTTTTTCCCCCCTCAAAGAGTCCCCTTTAATATTTCTTGTGGGGCTGGTGGAGTGGTCACAAACTCCTTTAGTTTTTGTTTGTCCTGGAACTCTATCTCTCCTTCTACTCTGAGTGACAACCTTGCTGGATAAAGTATTCTTGGCTGCATATTTTTCCCATTCAGCATGTTGAATATATCATGCTATCCGCTTCTGACTTGCCAAGTTTCTGTGGAGAGATCTGCTGGTAACCTTATTTGTCTTCCATTAAAAGTTAGGGATTTCTTTTCCCTTGCTTTTAGGATTTTTCCCTTATGTCTGTATTTTGCATATTTTACTATGATAATCTTGGTGTTGGTCTACTTTTGTTGATTTTGATGGGAGTTCTCTTTGCCTCCTGTATTTGGATGTCTGTTTCCTTCCCCAGATTAGGGAAGTTTTCAGCTATAATTTGCTTAAATAAACCTTCTGCCCTGTTCTCCCTCTTTTCTTCTCTGGGACTCCTGTGATAAGAATGTTATTGGGACTCCTGGGTGGCTCAGTTGGTTAAGTGTCCACCTTCAGCTCAGGTCCTGATCCTAGGGTCCTGGGATCGAGTCCCACATCAGTCTCCTTGCTCAGCGGGACCCTGCTTCCCCCTCTGCCTGCCTTTCCTCCTCTGCCTGCCTCTCTCCCCCTGCTTATTCTCTCTCTCTCTCTGACAAATAAATGAGATCTTGGGATGCCCAGGTGGCTCGGTCAGTTAGGCGTCTGCCTTCAGCTCAAGTCATGATCTCAGGGTCCTGGGATCGAGTCCCACATCAGGCTCCTTGCTCAGTAGAGAGCCTGCTTCTCCCTCTGCCTGCCACCCCCCGGCTTGTGCTCGCACTTGTGCGCCCTCTCTCACTCTAATAAATAAAATCTTAAAAAAAAAAAAAGAATGTTATTACACTTGATGGAATAGCTGAGTTCCCCAAGTCTACGTTTGTGATCAAATATTTTTCTTTCCCTCTTTTCTGCTTGATTTTCCATACTTTTATCTTTTTTTTTTTTTTAAGATTGTATTTATTTATTTGACAGAGAATGAGAGAGCACAAGCAGGGGGGAGTGGCAGGCAGAGGGAGAGAGAGAAGGAGGCTCCCCGCTGAACAGGGAACCGGCTGTTGGGCTTGATCCCAGAACCCTGGGATCATGACCTAAGCGAAGGCAGACGCTCAACCAACTAAGTCACCCAGGCACTCCTAATTTTATCTTCTTTATCACTTTTTCATTCTTCTGCTTCTTCCATCCTTGTGGTCATCATATCTATTTGGTTTGGTATCTCAGCTATAGCATTTTCTATTCTAGTGTGACTAGTTTTTAGATCTTTTATATCTGTGGTAAGGGACTCCCTGGTGTCTTCTGTGCTTTTCTCAATCCTTATGATTGTTGCTTTAAATACTGGATCAGGTTTAATACTTATATCTGTTCGATTAGATCCCTGGCCATATCCTTTTCTTGTTCTTTCTTTTGGGATGAATTCCTCCCATTTCAGTATTTTGTTAGGTCTCTGTCTTCTTTTGTGTGTTAGGAAAGCCTGTTAAGTTTCCTGCTCCTGAGAGTAATGCTTTATTAAGAAGGGATCATATACTGTCCAGGGCTTAGTGCTTAAGCAAGTGTTTCTGGTATATGCTGTGTGCACTCTGCTGCTGTGTTTTGGCTGCTCTTTCCTTCAGGTCAGTCCTCTGCAGAGTTTCTTCTTGCCTGCAGTGGGGAGTGTTTGAACTTTGGCCAGAGTGTGGCAGGTTTTAACTAGGTGTGCTCTGGTCTGCTTGTTAAAAGAGGCCTGATACTATTTCCACTAGAGCTGAAGCTTTGCAGCTCTCTATGGTCAACAGACTTGCTGTGTGCTGGGGGGAGCGGGGAACTTGTGCTGATCTTCTGGGGGAGGGGCCTGATGCTTTGGTTCTCAGGCACACTTGCCCTAGTAAAGAAGAACCTGCAGATTGCAGGGGGCCGGGGCTTGGTGTAAGGTACTCAGACATTCACTGTTGGCTCTGTGTTGCTCACTGAAGTCAATCCGTGCTGATGGGTGGGAGACAAAAATGGCTCCAGCCCTCTCCCTCATTCATGGAGAGGGGAGTTCACCCCTGCTGCAGTCCGCGAAGCCCTCACAGAAGAGTGAACAATCTCCCCTTGTGTGTCCCATGCGGCCCTCAGATCCCAGCCTTCACACTGTCAGTGCAGTGCTCCTATGTTCTATCCCAGGCAGGCCACCCAAATTTTAAAAACTCTGACCTTTAGGGACCTGATGTGGGGTGGACCTGTGCTGGTCCTTTTGCCATGCTGGGACTGTTGCAGGTTTGTCCCAGAAGGGCAGTTGTACCAAAATGCAGGAGTGTGGAGTTTGGAGTAAAATGCTGCGAAGAGCAGGTGTCCATGTTAGCCACCCTCAGCAGGTGTCTCTGTGCCTATGCTGAGGTACAGGGGAGGGAATTGGTATCTGCCAGCTCTTTTGTCCCCAGAAAGGCAGTGCCACCTCTCCCAAGTGCAATCAAGAAGGGGGAGACATCTCTCCTAGTGCAGCCCAGGGGATCCTCAGATTGCACTCTCCACTCCTAGGCCTCTGCCCTCCTCCCCAGGTGCACCACAGTGCCCACCAGGCTCCATACCAACCAGAATGTGGACTTCTGAAACTCCAGTCTTTGAGCTCTGCTGGTTGTAAAAACTCAACATAATCAGCCCCTCTCATTTTCCCAGTCAGTGGTTTTGGGGGAAGTCTTTTTCTTATGTTATCCTCTGTTCACTGCTCCCTCTCTCCTCTCTCTCTCTCTGTCTCTCCCTTTTCCCCCGTCCCCCTGTTTCCGTGATCAGGGCTCCCTCCCCTCCACAGTACCCATGAATCTTTTCCCCCACAAATCATGTCTCCACACCTCCTACCTTCCAGAGTGTGGTCTCTTCTCTCCCTCTAGTTGTGCAGTTTATTCTCTCAGTCCTCAGATCGATTTCTTGGTGTTCAGAATGATTTGATATTTATCTAGTTGTGTTCAAGGAATGAGGCAAGCATAGGGACCTCCTACTACTTCACTGTCTTAACCCCTATTCTTCCAGTCTTCTTAAAAAAATACATTTTCTTACAAATACTGCAGCACACCCTATTTTTCCCTAACAATACTAAAATATTAATTTTGAAAGTAACTAAAATTTATTGTGTACTGAATGTTATTTCTTTGGAAAAAGCATTTTGCCTTTCTGTGGAGAGCTGTTATCATGGAATTTTAAAAATTCAATTACTTAGTACCTCCATCCTTATATTTCATTCAAAATAACAGGGATTGCCTTCTGCCAAAATAGAGTATGTAAGATAAACATAGTTCCACCAAGGATTTTTCCCAGTGTGGACTTTCTGAAGAAATAGTCTCCTTGGCTTTCTTCATAACTGCCCCAGTCTTTGGGATGATCTTAGCCCCATGAAAATTTCTAGTGTCAGAATTTTCTTCCTTCTAACTCTGTAGGTCCTCTTGACAGCCATGGTGTTTGGACTTAAAGAGGATAACTTTTATCTCACTTCTAGTAAAAAACAGTGTTACATAAAATAAGAAGCATTCCAGCATAATGGCTAGGTAAATTATGCTCTACCTACTTGATATTGTTATACTGTACTCATAAACAAATTTTGCTGTTTATGGGATATTGTAATTCTCAAATATGTTGGACTGTATAATCCATAATGAACATTTTGTAGAGCGTAGTATTCAGTGCAGTTTTTTTAGTAAATGTTTTGTTCTAAATATGAGAAAGTTTTTTTATAAAATATGAAATTACATTCGATAAAAGCCATTTTTAGTTGTAGTGGGATTCATTAGGTAAATTACTTAGTATGATAATAATAATGTGTAAAATATGTTGTTTGTAGGGTAATGAACTAACACCTAGTAGAGGGAAAACATTTAGCCAGTATCTAACATATATAGGATCTCAAATGTTACGTCTTAGTAGCACTTAATTCATATCAGAAGTGAAATATATATATACTAACACATAGTGCGTTAATAAAGCTTAGTCTTTTAGAAATAGTTATATCCAAATAGTTTGTTTTTAGTAGCCTTCCTGTTCAATTTCTGGCTCCACAACTTGCTATATTTCTTTATCTGCAAAATGTGGGTAGTATCTACTTTGTGGAGTAATTGTTAAAATTAAGTGAAGTGTAATACATTCAGCAGGCCCAGAATAATGTTTGGCACAAGGTAAATACATTAGCTATTTCTATCATTGCCAAATGTTTTGAAGTAGGCTTACTGGTGTTCTGATGGTGCCTTACCCTGTTTGTTTTGTTTTTAATTTTTAGAAGACCAAGAAAATAATTTTGCATTTTCACTGGTATAAATTTATAAATCTGTTAATACCCTCTCTGCTGGGGAAAAGATACAGACAGACACAGGTTCCCCAAACTTTTGTCTTCTTCAGACACTTCTTTTAAGGTCAGACATCTTTTCAAAGCAGGCAAAGCTCTTCAATGTACGATCTTTGAGAGAGTAGTTTATTACTGCTCACTTTGCCACCCTAAAAATGTGATTTATTGATTGGCCAAATGCATAGTATATACTTAGATAACTCAATATTTGTTTTTATTTTAGAAGATAAAATACTTGGAAATATTAATACTTAAAATGATTACTCATTGTAAGATTGAATACCATTTTATGAATTATAGAAAAACATTTATAAAGACTAATAGAGTGGTTTTTTTGTATCTTTGCTTTTAGTTGGTAGATAAACTTAATACCAATACTGAAATGGAAGAAGTAATGGATGATTACAACATGGTAAGAAAATTTATAAGCATAAGCAATAGACTTACATAGATCATATCCTCCAATACAAAGCATTTATATCTAGAAATAGTTTGATAAAACCTTACACACCTTACAGATAGGTATTATTCTGATCCTAAATACTGTTATTACAGTTGAGTTCCCTCAGTTGCTTTCTGGGGCTTGAACTCACAACCCCAAGATCAAGAGTTGCATGCTCTACTGAGCCAGCAAGGCGCCCCTTCAGTTGCTCTTTTTAAATTTCTTCCTCTTGGTCAGATCTCCCTAGTGGATTCTTTAGTGTCTTTCTACAAGGCTAGGTGAACTGGTCTCACACACAGCATTAGTTAGGGAGTCTCATCTATATTTCCTTGTATATAAATTAGTTTGGAATACCTTTGGTTTAATATTTGCACAGATGGAGCTGAGTACTTACTGGAAATACAATGCCACATTTACAAAGTTTTATAAGTAAGAGAGAAAAGTGAATAGTTATCATATGATGCTGGATATAATACTACTTTTTGATTGATAAATGAGAATCTGTGTTCAGTGTTCTTAGATTCCTTGGTAGAAAACATTAGTAGCTATAACTTGTTTTGATTACAAATATTTGGAAGAAAGTAACATACGTAGAGCCTATAGTTTATATAACTTATAATTTATTTATACAACTTTTATATAGTTTATGATACAGCTTATAATTTACACAGACTATTCTGTGAAAGCACAGAATTCATAAAATGACTTTTTTCTAAATTGGGGTTCTGAAAACATAATTTGGTGAAACTAGTCTTAATTTTAGAACACAGGAGAATTTCCAATTTAAAAATATACTTTTAATGCCACATGTAAAATGTGGAAACTTCTTTATGTGTTCTGTCAGTTGTTTGGGATAGAACCAAATTCTAAGCTGAATATGCACAGGTAGAGTCAAGTAGGAGTACTCAGGTAAAATTCTTTTTAAGAATAAAACTTGTGTTTGGTCTAAAATCAACATATTACTAATCAACTATTGAATACCCAATAAATTTTAGAAATTCTATTTACATAAATTAAGTTTACACTGGATTATTCGATAGATCACTAAAGAATAGTGAATATTTTTGGTGTGAGATTACAGTGCCTGTGAAAAAGACTTCCTTTTTTCAGGTTGTAGTTTGTTAAGTGAAATAAATACTATATATTTTTAAAAAACTTTGCATGTGGCATTAGGATTATTATAATAATCTCTCAATTAGTTCATGACCAGAATAACTTTTAAAGAAGTAGTTCAGTTTAATGGTAATTTTTTATCACTAACTTCTCTGTTAACTCTTCATTCAGCTTAAAGCTCAAAATGATCGAGAAACACAAAGTATGGATATCATATTTACTGAAAGACAAGCGTAAGTACAATCCATTTAGAAATCAAACATTTCTAAGGAGCTGAATTAGGTAGTTTAACTTTGAAGTCATTTATTTCCTTATAAATTTTCTCGTTTTTTCCTTGCTTTTTTTTTTTTTAAGTAGGCTCCACATCCAGTGTGGAGCCCAGTGCAGACCCAAACTCATGACCATGAGATCAAACCTTGAGCTGAGATCAAAAGCTGGATGCTCAACCAACTGAGTCACCTAGGCACCCCTTCCCTTGCATTTTATTTAAAAAAGCTGAATATTTGCAATACAAATTTTATTATTTACACATCTGTTATTTTCATTTACCATTAAGTACCCAAATCCTGGATAAATAAAATTACTACATAGATTAGATAAATAAAATTTCTATTTCAAGTAGTTTAAAATCTAAGATGGGTAAGAACATCTTCATCTCTGCCATTTATAATTTTAACCTGGGCTTTTTAACTAGTTTGCATTATGAGATTCAAGGCCCAGTCTAATAAAATGCACATTATTAGTGAGCTGTTTACATTATTTCATTATTCAATTACTAATTTCTAATTAATAGTTATAGTAATACGTATATGTATATACATCTTTTTATATAACATGGTTAAAGACCCAATGGCAAATAATTTTGACTTTGGTAATAAGTGGCAGTGTGGCAGTGACAAAGGCCTACAAAGGTAATAGGTAGATGTGTAGTTGTCTTAGTCCATTTGGGCTGCTATAACAATATACCATAAACTGGGTAACTTACAAACAACAGGAATTTATTGCTCACATTTCTGGAGGCTGTGCAGTCCAGGCTCAAGGCACCAACATGGTCCCATTCTGGTGAGGTCCCTCTTCCTGTTCATACCAGGCATCTTCTTGCTGTATACTCCCATGGTAGAAGGGGGTCTGTGGGATCTCTTTTTATAAGGGCACTAATTGTATTCATGAGGGCTCCACCCTCACTACCTAATCACTTCCCAGGGATTGCACCTACTAATACCATTACCTTTGGGGGCTGGGACTGCAACACAAATTTTGGAAGACATAAATATTCAGATAATAATAGTAGTTAACATAATTATTCTTCATTGATTGGGGGCCTTAATTAAATATTGTCTAAGGCAATGCAAACATAAAACATAAGCTATTTCGTATACACCCACCCCATACATATTTTGTCTCAGAATTTTATCAGTCTTAATCTCTGAGAGCAAGGATAATAATTAATCAAAATTACTTAAATTCTGTAATACCAAATATACTGTCCTGTTACTTATGCATATAATGTACATATTTGATGAAGAATAGGATGTTAACATGTAATGGCAAAACACTTGAAAGATAAATACAATTTTTTTGTTGATTAAAAATAAGGGAACCTCTTTTTCCCTTATCATTTGATACTGCTGTAAAGTGCTGCCTTAAAAATTATAAATACTGGAAGTCCTTCCCATTTACAAAGAAAATTACGTATTCATGGTGACCAAGCTCTTACTTGAAAACTTTATTTTTTTTACTGTTCTGGTTTTGAACCATTTAGCAAATATTTATCGTTTACCATACATAAAATAACTCCCCTAGGTACCTAAAAAGTAAATAATGAACTGTAGTCCATTGAATACCTAACAGAGTTTAAAACATTAAGGTCCTCATTTATTTCATCTGCAGTTATCTAATATTCAGGTCAGATTTATAAATATTATATGTATATTTATTATATATATTTCATCCAGAAAGATAACTCACAGATTATAAATTTAAGACTGTCTTAGGCTTTTATGTCTATTTGGTTCATTTAGTTAAGGAAAAAGTTCTTAAAATATGGTGGTTTGTCCTGAAATGTCAGCAATTTCTTAATGTCTGTAGTTTGTAATTGAGTCTGAATGTATTTGGTTCTTCTGACCATTTAAGGAGAAATTTGAATTAAGAACAGGAGTTATCTTCATGAAGTTTACTTTTATATGCAGTAGGTGAATAGATTTCATGCGTTAATCAGATGGCCAACATCTCAGTAACACAAAGGATCTACCTTGGCTACACATTCAAAGGGAGCTGGTAATGGCATACCTTGAGAAGGCAGGTCCAAAAAACTTCTCTTCTCTTTTAATACAACCATTTAGTGTGGTATGACTAAACCATCTGGTTTATTATGGAACATCTATTCATAATAAGTTAGTTATAGTGTAGAGCCTTTAGCATATTACTATAACATTACACTTGGCTTTAATTCAATTTCATATGCCAACATTCAGTTATTAGAGGCTCAAGAAATTAGATATAGTCTTTGCTCATTCATAATTATATTTCACTTTACTAAATTTTTCAAATATTAATATTTGCCTCTTAAATTAGGAAATGATATTTTGGTAAAATAATTATTTAGAAAAAGCATTTTGTTTCCATAATTATCTCTTATAATCAAGATTTAAAACAATAAAGTATAATTGATATTATCTAATAAGAAATATTACATGTAAAATATTTATATCCTTTATTGAAAACATGTTTCTATAAACACAAACAAATATGCATTATAAATGAGTAAGTTCTATTTCACAGGGTATATATCATCCTAAACAGTTTATTTCCCTCGGTAGACATTTGAACTGAATTTACTATTGATACGACATTTAAAATGACCATTTTGCAGAATATAACATACATATACATTATTCTTAGACTCTTTTTTCTGAGAAACTGTCAAGTACATGTGCATTTTAAAAACTTTATTATAAAAAAATTTGAACATACACAAAAATAAAATAATGTTATCATCTCCCAGCTCTATCAGCTCATATCCAGTCCTCCTCCATAGACATCTAGGCACTACTCCGCTGTATGATGATGAAGAAAATCTAAAACATCATATTATTTCATCCATAAATGTATTTTATTATAGTGTTTTAGAGATATTCTTTTCTCTAAAGGATATAAATACCGTAAATTTTCACCCCTCTGCAGGGTAAAAATGATGGATTTTGTTACAATTTTTAACGCTACTGTTTGCATTGTTAAAGTTATGATTACAGCCAATTGATTATAAAGAATTAGTAAATAATTAACTTCAGACTCTTTCTGTAATAGTCTCAAGGTCATTGTTGTCCAAACTGTTTTTTGGATCATTATTGTGCTATGAACTCATTGTAGGCATATCTCAAAGAAAGGGTTTTGTTGTCCAGTAAGTTTGGAAAATTCTTAATACTTAGTTCTTGAAGAGCAGAGAGCACTTTAGCTTATTAGAATCTTGAATAAGTTCTATGGTAAGGACTCTTGTTTCACTTTGTTTAAACTCAGTATTTCCTATAGTAATTCTCTAGTACTTTGACCATGTACTGTTTTTCCCCCTGTAAATATTTCTGATCATTTCCCTGGAAATTAATATTCTAGAAAACAATTTGGGAAACATTGCTGTATCTACAGGATCCCAAACATCTGTCCATGGACCAACTGAAGATTCCTCAGCTCTAGCACAGACTCATTTGAATAGAACTCTCCCAAAGAGAGGCAGAAATACAGATTTTTAAAAACAAGATTCGTGGAGACTTGTGATACCCACTTTGGAAGCTACCATACTACTCAGTTATGACGATCATGCATTATGGTGATGGTCTTTCTTTATAACTGAAAGCAGTAGTAACCTTTTTTTTTTTTTTAAAGTCAGTAGTAACTTATTAGGGATTGTGCTTGGACATTGTACCTGTGCTTTAAGTTAGTACTAAATTTTCAGGAAATTTATTGTGCTAATTCAGGAAGCATTTAAAAAAATATTTTCCAATTCCATGAATTCATTCTGTGAGCATAAAATCAATCTTAGTGTGTTGTATGTTTAAGCGTTTTCACTTTGACAAATCCAAAACCTTTATTTTTTTTAAATTTTTTTCTAAAGATTTTATTTATTTGAGAGGGAGAGAGAGACAGAGAGCACAAGCAGGGGGAGAACTGGGGTGGGAGGACAGGGACAAGCAGACTGCACTGAGCACGGAGCCCAACATGGGCCTGGATCCCAGGCCCCTCCCAAGATCAAGACCTAAGCCTGAGCCAAAACTAAGAGTCAGATGCTCAGCTGACTGAGCCACCCAGGTGGCCCCCAAAACCTTTATTTTTTTACTGATTCTACTCAGTAAAACTTTAATATAATTTAATATGTATTACATCAAATATCTGGGCTAATATTAGAATCAGTTCATTTTAATGAATAATTTACTTTAGGTCTCTTCTATGGTCTCCTGAATACTGCTGAAAATAATAATGCTAGTATTGCCACTGTAAGCTACCGGAGGATGTCAATTACTGTATTTGGACCTACGTGCTCAGTACCAATGAGAAAAACATGATTTTATGATATTCATGTGTCTTGCAATTAATATGAAAGTCTACTAGCCACAGTTTGGTATGTCACATGCCTAATCTCCATTTATGTCTAAATTGCGAGTAAACCAATAACATTTTTTTTTTTTTTTAAAGATTTATTTATTCACTTGAGAGAGCGAGAATGATAGAGAG